CCTTCCTCTCCCTCCCCTTCCCTCCCTCCTCCCTCCCCCACCCCACCCCCTTCCCCTCCCTCCAACCATTTCAAACCATTAGTTTCCATGTTCCTGTCACCATATTTTTAGCTTTTATTCTCCTTTATTTCCCATTAGCAATAGTTAGTTAAGGGAGGAACATATTTGATTTAAGAGGCGCTACACTGAGGTCTCAAGGTGTATTCAAGTTGCTCTATTTTGGAAGAGGGAGGTGGAGAGCATGGAAGGAGAAACAAAAAATGTGACGAGAGAAGAGAAAGGCAGATAGGAAGAGAGAGAGAGAGAGAGAAAGAGAGAGAGAGAGGGAAGAGAGAGAGAAAGAGAGAGAGAGAGAGGAGAGAGGAGAGATAGAGAGAAGAGAGAGAGAGAGAAGAGAAAGAGAAGAGAGAGAGAGAAAGAGAGAGGGAGAGGAGAAGTCGAGAGGAGAGAGAGAGAAAGAGCGAGACCTAAGACAGATTGGACAGATAGACAGATAGTAAGATAGAGTATCAGATAGATAGATAGATAGTAGAGAGAGAGATAGAGGAGAGACGAGAGAGAGAGAGAGAGAGAGAGAGAGAGAGAGAGAGAGAGAGAGGAGGAGAGAGAGAGACTAAGATGATAGATTAGAGATTAGATAGATTAGATTAGATAGATAGATAGTAAGATAGATAAGGGCAGACAGATAGTAAGGACAGAGAAAGAGAAAGAGAATAAATAGAAGAGAGAGAGAAGAGACTCAGCCAGCCAGCGAGAGAGAGGAGAAGAAGAGAGAGCGCGCGAGAAAAAGCAAAAAAAAACCAAAAAAAAAAAAAAAAAAAAACGAAACATAATTGGCGATCATTTGTCCCGAATAGGGCACGAACGACCCATTAGCACACCCTGTAAATTATGCCCCATGCCCCTAATGCCCACACCTCCTCGGGCAGCCCCCATTAATATGCATCTGAAGCCGATCAAAAGGTCCCGTAATCAGTCGATGGATGGGTCGCTCCTGATGCCCGTGGGGGGGGGGTTCGCTACCACCGTCAGGAGAGAGAATGGAGGGGTAGGAGAGAGGGAGAGAGGGAAGGAGGGGGTGGAGAGGGAGCAAGAGAGGAGATGAAGATGGAGAGAGAAGAGAGAGAGAAGAGAGAGAGAGAGACAGGAGAGAAAACAGTGAGTGAAAAGAGAGACGGAGAGCAGAGAGACAAGAAGACAGTAGAGAAACAGAGACAGAGACGAAAATGGATGCAGACAGAGAAAAGAAGATCCAAGAAGACTGAGGAAAAGCAGAGAGTAAAGAGAAGCAGAGACAGAAAGAAGAGAACATAACAGCAAGGGAAAGAAGACCCAGACCAATAATTAAAAGAAAACCTCACCCAAATGGACA